ATGCATTGTCTAACACTGTTCCTATATTGTTTCCATATGGTCTGGCCCTTTTTCCACATTACCTATTCTCTCTTTTTCTGATTACATTTACCTAAGAGTTCCTTGACCATCCATGAAGGTTTCCTGCCCCCCTTGCTYGACTTCCAGGATTGCAATCCTGCTTGTTGAACAGCTTCCTCTAAACAGGATCATGAATTTCAATATCTGATGGTCACTGCAGCCAAGACTGCACCCAACCCTCACATTTCCCTCTTGAACATCTCTCTTTGTTAGTATCAGGTCTAGCAGTGTCCCTGCCTTTTTTGGCTCATCAACCACCTGCATCAAGAAATTATCTGCAATGCTCTGCAAGAACCTCCTGGACTCCTTGTTTCTAGCAGTGTGGTTATGCCAGCAGACATCAGGGTGGGTATCAGACATCTCATTTGCTTGTCAAACATAAATAGTAAATGAAAGCAAGTACCATGTTGGCAACAAAAATAACCGAAGATAACTTTATGGGAGCACAGATTGAAGAGGTTAGACCAGAGACTTTTTAGATTGAAATGTTTTCRTTTTGTTTTGAAACTTCATTTTCAATAATTCTTAACATTTTTTTAAATCATACCTATGAGAAGTCTAGAAAAAAAAACAGGATTTGGCAGATGTTGAAGAAAATATGTAGGGCTGAGACAGATGGAAAATTTATCTTTAAGTATGTGCAATAGATTTTGTTTTTAATGATCTTTGTAATGAGGTGCTTCCATGATCCTCAAGAGTGCTGGGAATTAGTCAGCTTACACTGAGTTTTACAGTTGGTTTGTGTCCTAATTGCTGCTAATAAATTAATGAGTAGTATAGGATAAAGGATTTACTCAGTTATGTTATTCAATAACTTTCACACACTGAAGAATCTTGCTGAATATTGGGTTCCTGAGGCCAATGTATTCTATCATATAAATCCTGTTTGATTGTCTTCAWATATATAAATGTTGGAGAACCACTTAAGATGTGTATATACAGTGTAGAATAATGGCTTAATAGGGAACATAGAATATCTCGTAGAGTCTTGTACTTATTAATGACAGAGGAACATGGTTTTTATCTGAAAGTTCAGTAGTAGCTTCTTGTACAGTAAAGCTTAGATATTGCATAGTGTGTGACTTATTTTTTCCATAAGGAAATGTGTGTTCAAGTCTGGTAAGCGGTTTTAAGCAGCTCTATTTTTTTGTCAAAGGTTTTTTGGGCTCCTTGTAGATCTTTCAACTGCTGGAATTACATTTTAGTTCTAAGTGTTYCAAAACTTGAAAGATAGAACCAAGAAACCATTCACCTGAATCATGGATYCAGTATTTATGTCTGAAACTAGAATTTCTGGAATTACTGTCATAACAGTAATTCCAACAAAAGAGGGAATAGTGTTTTCTAATTAGTATAAATCATAAAAGACTTCATGAAAGGTCTATCATGGCCTTTGTTAACTGAAGCGAGTGATCTACTTCATTGATCAGTAATAACATTAGCAGAATTATCTTGCATTTTTCTGAGATGGCTGTAAATTTGAGAGAATAACATTGGTATGTTGTCTAAAATGGCACAGGGAATTTCAGAGAAAAGCTAAATAGAATTCATTATTTTCTTTTTCTATTCAGTCCTTTAAATTCTGAGCCTTTTTCTTCATATTTGCAGACATGATATAACTCAAGATTAATATGAAAATCTATTTTGATAATTTTAGAGTTAAAAGTTTTAAAGAATTTTAAAAAGAGAGTTTAAGGAGTTTAAAAAAGAGAAAGTTTAAGGAGTTTTAAAAACAGAGTTTAGAATTTTAAAATGTAGTTTTAAAGTAATTCCACGAACAAATAGCATGACTTYTTGCTTTTATCCTCATCTAAACTTTTCACCAAGATCCCATACAAGTATGTTGAAGGATACGTAAATGTTAGATAGCATTCTGATAGTTATTTAGCTAATATATTAGCGSAATTATTCAACTCAAGAGAATTTATAACTTAGCAAATTTTTGATAATAAGTATTGATATCTATGAGGTATTTTGATTCTGTGGTTATATTTTCTTCAAAAATAATGCAAGAGGAAGACAGAATTCTGCTTATTGGATGTTGAAGTGGCAGTGAATTATATTTTGCAGTCACATTGACTTAAGGGGTAAGATAAAGTTCTTCCTGTACAAAMTCAATCAGAAGCAGCTATTAGCATTTACAAACAATTTCTTAATGGTTCTCTTGGTTGTGTATAAACAGTCATATATGATTATAAGCTACTTACTGAATTACCACTTGCATGGTTTTGCTAGCSCCGTCGCATTTAGGAAACTATTAGCTTAATTCTTGACATATAAGCAGTGACTAGGAGCTGAGAGTGCCAGATACCTTCACTTCTTACAGTATTTGTATGCAGTTATATACTGAACAAGAAGATGGTAGGTAGGTATTTTATGGCAATTTCTGCTGCAGTCTGCATAAAGCAACTAAAGATGTAYTGATACTGACCGCACCTAGAGTTGGTGAAGTGGAAATGGCTATATCTTGATCTAAATATGCACTGTGTTACATTGGTATCCATTGGAGTTTCTTTGCTTCTGAAAGAACTTCTATATTACCTATGATCAGKTTTTTTTCTTCTCTTCAAGAAAACTTCAGGCACAATGAATTTTTTCTTTTTTTTATACTCTTAAAGATGCATCTTTCCCCTCCATCTCCCCTTCCAAATGTATATTAYAAATGTGCTGGCATTTGAAGTCATTTAAACTTTAGTATTAGGTAATACAAACTTAGTAGAAACCTATCTTCTTCTATTAATCCTTTAAAAATTTTGAATGATAAATAACCTCCTGCAAACTTACCTGCTGAGAATCCCCCTTTTGTCCATACCTTTTTTGAAGGTATGATTTTTTAATAATCCTCAACAGAGATACCTTTCTAAAACTAAATTAAATTGTGACAAATGCCTACTTCATTATCATCTCTTAATGGTAACAATTAACCTTTGGAAAACCTTCTGTTAACATAAAACAGTTATCTCAGAATTTTAGTTGAATCTGTTAATTCCCACTGCCCACTACAAATTTCTGTTCACACTTAGATTTTACAACATAACCTATTCCAAGACAGTTAATCAATTCTGCTGTATAATATGAAGTTGAAATATAACCCAAAGGAATCTTTTCCATTTATCCTACCAACTTTTTGCACTTTCATTTCATACCTACTTTGTATATCAGTTTGTAATTRTTCCTTATCTTTTGGGATGCTTTTTGTTTCTTTGCTTCTTTGTTCATATTGCTCAGTTCTTATAGCTCTGGGACATATGACAAATTAAATTAACTTGTAGCTAAACAAAGAAACAACGATGAAACACTCTTTATCAGCAAAGGACTTCAAGAAAAGGAATTTCTTTGTGGATTGCACATAAAAGAGAAAATATGTCAAGGAGAAGCAGATTCCAAAGGTACCAAGGTGCTGTTCATTCAGTGCAAAAGGGAGAAGTGAAAACATGATTGTCAGTGACTGTTATGTTGGAGAGGTCTGATGGGAGAGCATCCCACCATAGCTATATGTCTGGAAAAATGCACTTCTCTTGGTCAGGAAGGAATTCCGCAGTGCTGAAATCTCTATTTGGAGAACTACAGTCTGTCTATGAGTCTTAAGACAAAATTTCTAAGGTCCACTTACAAGTGCCTCAGCTGATCCTACAAATTCAGAGGTATACATTTCTGCTGCTCTGTAATGTAATAGGGCAGAAGGTATAAATTATGTTTCCTGCAGTCTGTAGTATTCCTGGCTTTAAGAGCACAGCATGCTACTTAGAAGACTTGACTTCTGATAATAGTACTTTCACTTTATCCTGGATAATACACATCACATCTTGCAGTTATTTTCTTATGATTACACCTCTTATATATATATATACACCATGAAAATAGTCTGCCATAAGGATAGTTATCTTGAAGTATTTCTTGAGTCAGTAAAAGATCTTTTGCTACTACTGGTCAGAGATTGCATGCATGAACTGTATTGGAAACTCTCATTTTAGTAACACAGTAATAAACACAGTATCTTCCTCTCAAGGGAAGGAGAAAGTAGAGATGTATTTTTACTTCTGTGCTTTTTTTCCTTTTTTTCTTTTTTTATATCATTGTAGTGGAAGAGCATATGGGAATGTAGTGTTTTGATAATATTTGTTTAGAAAAGTTTTGCAAGGTCAGGTTATACATTTATATATGAGAAACACAGTTCTTGTAATAGCCATCAGCTAATTTTAATGATAGAAATTTATACCTTTTACTAGAAAAGCATGAGACCTGAGCATACACTCAGTCTGATTCTGGTTTAGGCACACGTGTGCCTGAAGATTTCATGTGAAGCTGAGGGAATYGTATGCTGGGGAGCAGTGAAAGTCAGGCTGCTTCATGAGGGAAGACCAGCTGGGAGCCAAGTGACCTCTGTGCAGACTGAGCCTCAGCAATGGGGTACAACCACACAGATTTGAGCCAGGTGTGCTAACAAGGTTCRTCAACAGCACCAGGCGGGCTGAGAGGGTGAACCAGGGCTGAAAGGATCTAAGGGTCCAGCCAGGAGCCAAAGGAGATGGGACTGGAAATAGAGCTGGARGCCTGGCTGCAAGCCTGGATCCAAGCTCCTTCTGGGAGGTAGAGCAGGGGTCAGGACTGGAGTCTGGCTTCACTACAGTGTCACTGTAGTAGGGRCTGACAGTGCTGGGATAGGCTGAAACAGGGTTTTGGGCTAGTGAGGTCCATCACTGCCCTCAAAGCTTTGACGTTAGATTTCTTCATTTTGGAGACTAGAGGGCTTAGAAGGTATGCAATTGTGTCCTTCAGCCACCTGAGGGGTGTTATAGAAAAGATGATAGTAGACTTCTCAGTGGCAGGTGCTGAGAGGAAAGGAGGTGATAGTCACCAGCTACCCAATAAAAATTCTTATTGGAGGAATTTGTTGGTGGAATTTTTCTGAGGGAGGTCAAATGCAGGAGCAGATGCTCAGGGAGTTTATTGAATCTCCATCCTTGAAGTATTGAAGTTTTAAGTGGATGAGACTCTGAGCAGCTTGATGCAAATTTGAAGTTAAACCTGCTTTGATCATGAGGTAAGACTGGGTGGTCTTAAGAGGCCATTTCACCCTAAATTAACTATGATTCAAAACACACATGCACATACACATATAAAAACTTCTATCTTAAAAATCTGTGTATGTGATTAGGTTTCTTGGTATCTGAGTGAGTGAGGGTATATAAATTGCTGTGTTCTTTCTTTCAAAACTTAAGGGAGTATGAGAAAAAAATTTAAAAGGACTCACTTGTCCTCATGGGAAGCAAAAACATGCCTGCAACCACAATTAGAAGCTGAGAAAACTGTTTCCTACTGTTTCAACTCTTCAGTGATCAGCACACTTCRGCGTAGCAAATATGAACATAGAAATTGCTTCACGTTTCAGATTTAACTCATTTTTCACTGATGAGACTCAGCTATCATTTTCAGTACTGCTACTGTATATCTTCCCAAATCCCTTAGACGAAAAACTCAGAGAAAATAATCCTGCTCGGTATGGCTCGTTGCCACCCCATTGTTATCCCTAGGATTAATAACGTTTGTGTTAACTGCAATAAATTGGACCATTTCATGTTACCATGGCAGCCAAACTGAAAATAGTAATTTTTCTTTGCTAGGTTGTCCACAAATACTGTTCCAGGTAGAAGATATAAACGAATGTTTTTTTATCGCTTTGCCATACCTTATAATGAAATAACATTTCCTAAATCTAGCATTCTCTGCGATTCATTCCTGTGATGTGGGAAATTCTTGTTTAACAGGAAACCTAACTCCTATTTGAGCATATCAGTGATTAATTGAATGTGATATTTTTGTCTGAATTATTGTGAATTTTAGAGAATTCTCAAGTATAACAACAGGCAATTACAAACCAAACTTTTTTCTTCTTATACTATTTATTTATTTATTTATTAAGAATCGAGATGCTGATGTACTTCACTAGTTGCAAACCCATACAATGTCAATCCTTCCTTTCTGGATAAACAATGTATTAATGCTATATTTTCATATATATATTAATGTAAGGATAAGTAGTTTCACAAAGGAGGAAGATATTAATTGCCTTTTTGATAAATTCTCCTTGTATAACTTCAAGGCATTCTTGCAGCTGTGTTCCTCACATTAGCAAGTCACAGCACTGGAAAGGGTCTCCTGAATTATGTTCAGTTCTGTAGCCTGTTACCACAGTTTTTACTGGAGTCTCCTAGCTCATGCTGTAACATGTTGTGGTACGTAATGATCTTTAAGAACCTAGAAAAAGTGTGATCTCAAATAAAGGCTTTGAACTTGGATATAACTGAGAAGCTAGATAGCTGTGAATTTACTTCAAGAAACATATAAATATCTTTATGTTGTGAAGAAATACCATTAACTCCAGCAGCAGGGAGGTAATACTTTCATGTGCACGTGTGGACATGAAGGAGTGAATCCAGTAGTTTATTTGCAATTCTTTTGTTTAATGTGCAAGCAGTATGTTTGATGGCAGAACTGTGGCAATAGATACATTATACTGATACCACGCTTAATTATAAATAAAATGGAAATTTCATAAATTTTCATGTTTGCGAATGTTCCGAATAATTTATTCCATTAAGATTATAAACTCAGTCCCTAAAAACATGTTCTCGGTTAGAAAGGGTTTGATGCTTTTGAAACACTTAGCACTAGTAAAACAAAAGGTCTGTAAAAGCTGAAAGTTTCTTGCACTTTTGAAGGTCTCTTCAAAATCAGGCTGTTTATAGGATGCCTATAARCCTTAGATGAATCTTCTTAATTAGTATGTAGAGTTTGAAGCAGTAGCTTTTTAAATGAATCTTCCAGTCTTCAACACCTAGTGCACTTTGGTTAACATCTCAAGGTATGTGAGGTATATTTCTTTCAGATAAAACCAAACCAATAGATCTGCTTCTGAAGTGCATCTAACACACACCAAGCACTAACATACAGGAAAAAGAACCAAACAAGGTAGTGGTCCTCACCACCACCTTGATAGGTCCTCACCACCACCTTGATAGGCTCTTGGATCATCAAGGACTTCTGTAATGTCAGTGTATTTCTTGTGCCATATAAGGAGTCAGGTAGGATCTCCACTTTGCTGCCTTCTGCTTGTCTTTAAGTTCCTTACTGGCTTCCACACAACTGAAGGATCACTTTGGGTTCCTCAGGGAATACAATATTATTTTTGTTTGTGTTATTTTGTTGACTCGTATCTATTTGACTACTGGCATTCCTTTCCCATACTCTTTTTGGCCACTGCCTGAAATTGCCTGCAATTTCAGTGTAAGTGTTCTCTGGTGCAGATGACAGGACTACACCATTTCTGTTGATGGCTTGTCATGAGGGCATCAGGGCACAGTCCCACCTTGAAGAGAACAGAATTCATTGTTGTCTAGGTGATATTTACTATACTGCAAGAGRTGCAACATAAAATTGTGCACCACTGTCCAACACTGTCTAAATCTTGATCCAAGATCTTGATCCACTCACTTGGCCTGAGTGTGGGTGCTGGCCTGAGTGTCTAAYTGCCTACAGAAAGTGCAAAGTCTGTTGTTTGCAGGTGCCAAGGGCACTGGTTCTTGATGGCCCAGTCCAGAAGGAAAGATTTGCTTGCAGCCTCACAGAGGTCATCCTCTGTCACTGCACCACAGAGACTGCTGAAACAAAACAAAAGGTAGTGAGCAATGCTGCATCTTTCTCACTATTCTTTCTGGCTGTAAGCCTCTTTGGTGCGGCTTCTGTTGGCTATTCACAAAATAGTGGTGTTTGCAAAGTATCTCTGGATTGTTCAGTCCAACCCTAAACTCAAACTAGAGACAACCAGAGCAGGTTGGATGGGGATGTGTCTGGTTGGTTTTGGAATATCTCCAAAAATGGAGGCTGTACATTGTCTCGCACTGTTCCACTGTATGATGATCCTGATAGTGAAAAACTATTTCCTTATTCTTATTTCTTCTGTTTTCTTATTGCATTTAGTTTTCTATAATTCTGTTTCTTTCAACAGAATTTCCTGTATTTGATTTTGTACCCATCATCTCTTATCCTTCTGCCACATACCACAGAGAAGAGTTYGTCTCTCTCATCTTTATTTTCTACTGCTAAGGTATTTATATATGTTAACATATGTTATATATGTTTATCCTCTAAGCCAGTTAGAGGATAAAAGATGGTCAAATATCATCTCTGCTTTGTAAATCCATACTAATCAYTGTCATACATTCAGAATTGGTTTTCAGGATTATTGTTTCATCGTTTTTCCAAGGACCAAGTAAATGATGACTAGCCTGTAGGTCCCTGAATTCTTCTCCCTCATCAGGGACCTCCCCTGATAGCCATGACCTTTCAGAGATGGAGAGCATCTTCACAATGATATCAGCTAGCTCCCTTAGCATTCGTGGGTGAATCACATCAAGGCTTATGGACTTGTGTATGTCTGACTTGTTTAAGTGTACCCTAGACTGATTCTCCTCCACCARGTCATCCTTTGCCCAGATTTTTCCACTGGTTTCAGAGGCCTGGGATCACTAAAGTCCAGTTCTACTGGTAAAGACTAAGGTGAAGATGGCACTGAGCACCTCTTTTCTATATTATTTGCAATTAGGGTGTCTGCTCCATTCCGGAGCATGCCCACATTTTCCCTACTTTTCTTTCTGTAGGCCTCTTTCAGCCTCTATATGACATCCTGCACATGGGGATGGAACATTCTTGAGCTTTTCATGAAGTTAGCCTTGAAGGTGAACTAGCTCTCCTGCAGCCCTCTTGTTTCCAAGAATCCCATGGGATTCTTCCAAGCAGATCTCTGAGTAGGTCAAAATCTGCTCTCCTGAAGCTTGGGGTTGTGATCTTGCATTTTTACTTCTCTCAGGACCCTGAACTCTACCATATCATGTTTGCTGCAGCAAGGCTGCTCCTGACCTTCACATCACTTCTTTGTTTTCACAATTCTTCCTTGTTTGTAGGTATGAGGCCCAGCAGTGTGTCTCCTCTATACTTTTCAATACACTATCTAACTTTTCAGTCTTGTGCCAGGAAATATTCATCACTGCATTCCAGAAACCTTATGTYCTGTGGTGTTCCCCCTCCAGATATCATGGTGGTTAAAAATGCCTCATCTACTTTCTGACCAGATGGTCTGCAGCAATCACCCATGGCAGTGTCAGCCCATGTTGGTTTGCTTGCTAATCCTGATCCTGAAGGTCTCAGCTGGGTCATTACTTATTCTGAGGCAGAAAGAGCTCCATGCTTTTTCACTGCTCTCGCACATAAGTCACGACTCTTCTGCCTTTCCCACCTTTCATTCCTAAACAGCCTCTACCCATCCATGGCAGCACTGCTGTTGTGTGCATTATCCCACCTTACCTCTGTGATCTTGGTAAGACCATAGCCCAGCAATTGCACAAGGACCTCTAATCCCCTTGTTTGTTCCACAAAGCACAAAGTCATTTCAAAAAGGCACCTRGTCATACTGATTCCCTAGGTAAGAGCTTTCCGCATAATGTCATCTTTCAGGCATTCCCTTATTTCTGTTCATATACTTCAGGCAAGCTTCCTTTAGCCCTGTTCTGCTATTTTCAAGGTGTCCTTTGTTCGTATTACCTGGCTTACCAATGCAGTTCACCATTTCCTTCCTTTTTTGTGCGTTGTCATTCCCTCCTGCTACAAAGGTTAAAAGTCATTGCTGTAAAAGCACAAACACAAATGACAAGAGAGGCCTGTGGTGTAACCTATTATCTGTGTTGGTGCTTACATGTCTTGTGGTTCTTCTTTGGACTGGTTATTACCCTGGAGAAAAATAGGAATACAAATCCTCTCTCTC